TCGTCAGCCAAAAACAAATAAACAAAGTGGGATATTATAACAGGCCTTCCCAGGCGAAGAGGTGACTTTGTTGTAATGTAACCGTGTGGAGTGAACCACTGCTTGCTGTGATGAATACGGAGTCAAACGGAAACTGCTGTATTGAGCGAACAACAAAGTGAGGAAGGAAGAGAGATCCAGAGGAACGAGAGCTTAAATACAGGATGCCAGCAGCGCGCACGTGACACATACTACATGCTGCGCTACACGTGATCAACCCCTAGTTCCTCCAACTCCGTAACAAAGACTGCCTTGTTTTAAATCTTTAACTAACCTATACTACCTAAAGTCTATATAGACTCGAAATTAATAATTAATATAATATATTTATATAATATATTTAAGACCAAGGGTATTAACTATTTAATATAGATTAAAGGTAAGAATAACCCTACTAACGCTATAACAAAGTTAAAGGCGCATAGTGTGACGGAGCTGGATTTCATTTGACAGGATTTCATTCGCTTGGCCAAGCACGTGACGAGACTTGGCATTGGAACAACTTAAATAACTTCGCTCCTTTCAGATTCTCTTCTCTCTTTAGTTTGATTTCTTCGTACCTACGGTTTTAGTTCTAGCAATTGATTCAAAAGCTGTATACACTTTATCCTTTGTTGGCATCCGTGACACATAGCGCTTTAAAAGACTTAATTAATATAAATATAATTAAAATATAAGCGAACGCTTAGGTAGAAAGGTGTTAGAAGACGAGGGCATAATATAGAATAGATAAGCTGGAATACAGAGAGAAGCTAGCTAAGAGAACAGGGGAGTCTTTATAAGACGACCCTGACCGAGTGGAAGCCGCTAGAATGCTAGGTAACCACCTAGGCAACCGAGACAGGGGTTAGTGTCACAATTACGAAATCGTCAGGTGACATTTGGGACCATGGGCCCAGACAGCACTTCGCTGACAGGAGAACCCATTGGTATTTAACCAAAAGAAAGGATCGGGTGGCTGCATCAGGCTAGCCAGACGATCCAAGGAATTTCCCAGCGACCAGAAATCACGTGACTATATCGACTTGATCGAAATCGATAAAAGCGATGATCGATTTTATCGATAGCGATGGTAGCGATATATTGGGAACGAAGGTTCTAAAGACTGGCACGTCTGCCATTAGATAGGAGCTTCGTGCTCAACTTAGTTATCAATCTTATCATATTAGTTTGACATCTTTGATACAAGTAACGAGTTCACTTCCAAGTGAACAACCCGATAGTCTTCTTCTTATCATAGCATACCAACCAGCGAACACCCAGCCAAGTTTAGTTAGCCAGTTTGAGTATTCGTTACAGTTAGGCAGCGAAGACAAGAGTCTCGTACTATAACAAAAGGAGCTAATTAATACTATAGAAGTTATAGATATTATTTATTATTTTGTTATTTCGTTACTTTATAAAGTATTACTAGTATTATAATATATTCTACTCTTTTAGTTATATTATTTTAGACCTACCTTATTCGAGTACTTTAAACTCGAACTCCTACACTTACTTAGCTCCTTAATAATCGAATGACGGATATAACCACCTATTGCTTGTTCACCTAATCCTGTTAGATTCCCTCTAGGAATTCGACAGATATCTCTATACCAACAATAGTCAATAAAACAAACCGGACGAAAGACAATCGCGAAATATCCACCTTTTCCAGGGCTATTGAGACGAAATCTCACATAACCCATCTGTTACAGAAACCACTTCTCGATGATGATGGAGCTAAATTTGTGGCCGAAGAATGTGTTAATCATGCCTTTCTTTGTGGACGTGGGAAGGAATACTTGGCCTCCCTGTCCTTTATCTCAAACCTTCATTTCTGGTTATAGCAAGGAAAGTCAAACTCTAAAACTGTACTATATTACTTTCCGTGGCATCGTTTCCTGGTGGTGGTGACACATATGCGACGATTACGGAGTACAAAACACCTTATCTTACTCACCCTGTCCTAATCATCAGATATCTTGCTTAACGAAACTCCAACCTGGCATTCTACAACTTCTCATGAAAGCCATAACTCTTTGACATAGGCTTTACTTTGGGTTAGGACCCATATTGAGCCGTTATTATGATATCGTTATGTATAAAGTTTCATGTATTCTTTCTAGTCTATGAAATACAACATTAGCGATCTCTATCTGAGATCGAGAGTCTCAATGCAGTGTTCTAAAATACAAAATTGGAAGAAGCACCTCGAAAATTCCACTGCACACCGCACCCTTTATATCGCACTATGTTACTATGACACACATCCCCAGCGTACCATAAGGAAAAAGGATAATCAAAAATATCAATCCACACCATGACTACAAGTCTATTATAAGAAATGCTTCTTCCACCGGGGTGTAGCTTTCCTTTGATCGAGGCGTAAGAGAGGAGTGAGTTGCGAAATAAAATCCCTTCAGAAACCCAGTTCTTGAGATGCAAACTCTTCAACAGTTGGTTTTCTACACAGTGCAATGTCGAAACGTGTTCCAAAAAGAAACTTGAGATCACCAAGAAAGGAAACGTGCTGATCGCTTCATCGTTTATCAAACTTGTCCATCCACATGGGGCCCTCCGCAATTGAAATATCGGTATTGCCTTTGCCGTAGAATGCTGATGCCTTATCGTCAGGGTGGGACTTATTGTTGTGAATTCTCCCGTCATAGGTACCCAAATCGAAAATTGGGCTCTTGGGTTCTTGAAAGCTGGAGGGGGTAGAAGCTGGCTCTGGCTCTGGATTCGAGGTTGCGCAGCCCATATTAGTGGTTCACATAGTTTCTTGTGATCTAGTCGTTGTCGGTTTCAAGGTTACGTAGCCTATATTAGTAGTTTATATAGTTTCTTGTAATCTAGTCGTTGTCGGTTTCGAGATTTAGATTCGAAAGTTGAATTAATAGAGTCTGTTAGTACGGCATCCCGAGTCTACTACTAAACCAGATGACTCAATCGTAAAGAGTAAATCGTAAAAGATATATATTTACTACTACTATACCAGAGTACCTATACCCCCAACACCCCTAACTTAGACTTCACGTGCCTGGGCATTTTTACGTAGAGTCGTAGACACCCTAACTACCTGTTACCTTACTGTCGCCCACCCTTACTGTCGTATCCTTACTGTCGCATCCTTACTGTCGCATCCTTACTGTCGCATCCTCACATGCGACCTTCTGTGCTCTCCGAAGGTCGCTCTCCTTTTGCCTTGCACAGAAGCAATGGTGTGAGCGGTTGTCTTCTGTTACGTCGTGGGAATGGCGAGAAGTGCAGTCGATATCATTGTCACCAACGAGAAGGATGGTGTTAGGAAGTCGGACTTGAGGTTCGACATCGTGATGTATTAATCGATTATGGACTGTCGCATCCTTAATATCGTGTAAGGGTTGTGCCCTAGTAAGTTGTTTAGAGAGAGAGAGACAGAGTAGCGGAGGGGACAGAAGCGGGGAAATATTACCGTGCGTGTCGCTTATCCCTAGCCCCGAATACTACCTTCCTAGAACGGCTAGGCTAGCACGTGTTACGCTAACAATTGTTTGCTACTTGCCTATCCTCTCTCCCCCTTGTACTTTCTCTCCTCTTTCTTTATAATAACTTAACTACGATAGCGATAGTAATAGCGATAACAAGAAGGGATAGGGGTATTTGTTTGCCGGGGGCGGGGGGTTACGTTATAACAAAGCCTCTAGCTACTAAGCGGGGGTATATAACAGGGGGGTAGAGTTAAAGGAGCGTTCGAGTTATATTTAAGGGCAGGAGTATTTGTGTGGTTTTACCTTTAATTCTAGCGCTAGTATATAACCCTAACCCTAAGCTACTTTATAATATACGACTTACGATTTCCTATAAAATAACCTTAAAAGTAACTTTTGCGATTTGCGATTTAGTCATCTGGTTTAGTGGTAGATTCTGGATGCCGTAGTTAGGAACCTGGAAGTGATGTTGATGTAGTAGGTTAGATCCTCGAGATACAAAGTATTATTTATCACTAGAGATCAGTATTGAGCGCAAATATGAATGAATCACGAAACGGAACTTATGTGATTGGTTTACTGAACTTGGTCTGAATCATTATTAGTAGCCTCTAAGCACTATGACTGCCCAGGAGAGTAAGTGGCGAGTACTAAAGGTAATATTTGGTGTTTTCAAGAGTTTATAGTATCGTTTTTCTCATTCCAGGGAGACCTAAATTAAGCGAGATGTGAGCTCTCTATTCTTTGCTTTCTGTTGCTTTTACAGCTTTAAACAATATTTTATTGTATTTGGATATGATTGGATGAGATCCTGGCGGACTAGGAGTGAATATATTTCACCTGGTTCGATGACTGGGGTTTGATGACTGTTGGAGTTCTCGAATATGACCAGTATATTTCACTGGAATATCCCAATCCCACATTCACTTTTCTTGCAAATAGCTTTGAAACTTAAGGTTATTAAGGATCTGTAGATAAGGTAAGAGGATTCACAAAGGTCACTAGAAAGGGACAAAAGTTTCATGATTGTAATCTCTAAGCTGGAGGCACTCTTTCTTACGCAATTACCTTTACGTTTGTGCCAACATCTAATTCGCTCAATACTAATAATTTGGGTCTTGTATAAACAAATAGGCTATGTGACTCCGCAACTCTAGTAGTGCCGACTTCCGATTTATGACCATTGACATTTGAAGTGACTAGAGTAGGATGCGATGACTAAGATACCCTTGAACAAAAAGTTTGTACTTTGAACCTTGATGAAGCGCCTGTAGAAGAAATCAGATTTATTCCAACGCTAATTTAAACATTTCTATATATCCCTTGGTGAACCGAGGACAAAATATACTTACTACCAATGTTGCCAACTTATTTGTAAGTTTACAATTGAATTCCACATTTTAGAAACAGGTTGGGCGTTCATAAAGTCTGTCACTAAGCAAGTCACGGTCCGCAATATACTGCCTTATTTCTACCAAGAGTGCTGAGATAGAGCCACTATTTAATGCAATTCAGAGGCTATTGTGCTAGGAAAAGGTACCTTCTCCAGCAAAAGACGAACCATAACAAGTCTTGGAATGCTGGACGCCACACATACAGATCACAGTGCCCTACAAGCTAGCTCACATCTTCCATGAATAACACCTCCTCTCTCGCTCTTGCGCCATAACCTTCATACTCCTCGCTTATCATAACTGTAGTTGACAGGACGTCTGTTTGACTCTCCACCCTCACCAACGTAGGGACCTTTGATTTTCGGCTTGCTGTCGCTCTGAGAAGCTGTTGTGTTGGCCTTGTTGTTATTCCCTTGAGCTGAGGTTGAGGAAGAATTCTGTTGAGTCTTTAGGCCGCAGCCTGCCTTTTGAGAAGCCTCTGGAATTTTCGTTTGTTGCAGGTTTTTGGTTCTTTGATTATTTTCTGAAGATCTGTTGGGGGATTGTGGATGCACAATGAACTTTTGAGTTGTAGGTGGATTCTAGTAGGTATGTATTGGTGTTGAGAGTGCTGTTCTTATGAATGTTGCCTCTGAACTTTTCTGTGATCTTGTTTCATACGATATATTATTCACGCAGTGTGCGAAAATACTTTCCATGTAAATGCTCTTCTTTGCACTTCGTCATTCACTCTCAAATGTCATGGTTGAAGTTGTTGATCTATTTATAAGAGAATACTGTTATGACTTAGTCCTCGCTTACTGTCTCCTTATTCACACAATAATCAAACCATATAAGAACAGCCCAAAAAGCCGACGTAGTTTCTGCCCATTGATGCAATTTCTCATTGAGTTGTCATAAGGTGGTTGTTCAGCTAGTGGAGCACAGAACAGCTTCTATGCTGCTCACTCTGCGTCGGTCTTTCCTTTCACGACTAAATAACTAGGGGCCCTTCCATAGTCAGTCTCCCCTGAGCCATAAGTAGATAAGGATAATTTGAGATTCACAAAGCAGGTCAGTACTTGATTCTTCGCTCACCATAGGGCGAATGAAATGGATCAGCCATAGGCTTGATTGTGTGGTAGAATTTTAGCAGGAAAATACTAGAGTAATTACTATAGCAATACTACTATCCTTTACTGACAATTTCTCAGTATCATTCACTCTCAAGTTACTTGCTAGAAAAAAATATACTAACCACGTAATTCACAGTTCGCAATCTTTACTTAACTGAGATCCAGTTAGATTCACAATCACAAAGTCTTTTATTGTACCCATAGATTGTTAATGTGGAGTAAATTGTAAATTTATCAATGATTCATGTATTATTCTATCGTGACATGAATCCCAGTTCCCAAAAAGAAAATGATAAATTGCCAACGTCAACCCAGTCAAATAGAGAGAGCAAAACACGCTCACTAACGTCTTGTCCTCTTGATGTCACCAGTTACCCACGAAGAACTGGGAGATCTGGGTTGACCAACTCCAGAACTATCTTCAGCGCGAGATTCACTTGGAACAGGGCTATTAGTACCAATGGATCGACCCCTTCGAGGACCAGGATTTGCCTGATCATATTGTCGTTGTGAAGTAAGAAATCCCTCAACGCGGTGTCCCGTGGATTCGTGCTCAGTAGGGGAGGAATAGCGATGAGATGGCCCATCCGTGACACCTGATCCTGATCCGGCTCTGGTACTTCCACGAGCATCTATTACGAAACTGCTACCGACTGAAATTCTGTCAGGGCTGGGAGACCTGGAATTGTCACTAGATTCGTTGCTGCCCCGACCGTGAGTCTGGAGACGTCGATCGAAGCCAGGAGCTGCGCGATGGTCTCTTCGGTTGACTGCCCCAGGTGGGATAGGGTCTCGGTTGTCTAAACGTGGACTGCCCCCCACAGGAGAATTGACCAAGGTGCTACCTGTCAGTCCGGGAGTGCCAGATCGACTGCGGCTGTGGGGGAACTCAGAGTTAGCATTGCCTCGTATTATGATAATTTGGATCTCAAGACAAATCCAGGAGCAGAAGCAGAGTGTTTTAGGAGGAAACTATTTGCCAAATCTCCTAAGCTAGTCTCGTATGGGGCTTGGAAGAGGAACAAATAACTTGGGGAACACCTACTTGCTTCCAGTGGGGCTACGGCTTCGTTTTTGATTCATTGTGTTGAATTTTTTATTTGGTTCTGGAGGTTTGTTGTCTGTATGGGTATCGATGTGAGGGCGCGTGTGTTTGTTGATGATATCGAAAAGAGAAAGTAAAACAACAAAACGATCTTCTTTTATACTTTCTTGAGGTGACACAAGCCTTGGGGCCATACTCAACAAATCATGATGTGTCAGTTACATTGAATGTTATTAATAAACTTGGATACTGGCATTAAGAGTAAACTAATATGTGGTGGCTGTAAACTGATATACTAACCTCCAGTGATTTGCAGAAATGGGCCAATCTAGCTGTTGAGTAAGCTTCAACTGAGTCTTTACCTGCACATTTATTCAGGACCTGGACATGTATGAAGTAAATTGAGTAATACCTGAGATACGTAAAATTAGCACCAGCCAATGGCCGCAGTCAGGCATTATCAGATCATTTCGCCTATCAAACATCGTTGTTCTGTCTGATAATTTCAGAAGTTACAAGCTTAAAAAGCACCATAATAAGGGGGCGTCGCTAAGCGAATAACTACCTTCACATGACTTTAGCCAACAGAGTATCTACATACATATAATCAATTCCAGCCGATGAATAATTCATGAGCACTGGGAAAAATTAAGTAGTATGTTCTTAACTTTAACTTTCCTTTCTTTCTAGCCGGCGCAAGGAATTGAGATTTCAAGGTAAACTCTCATACAAACGAAAAAAGAGGGACGAAAGCGCAATCTATTCAGCTTTGCATCAAGAAAGTCATAACGGAATATAGAAGTCTGGTATATTTTCTCACTTACTAATTATACTCTAAAACGTTTCTATATTACTACGGTAACAAACATACTTCACAGAATCGAAAGCTGCATCTGTAATTTTACCTGGTTATCTAGTAGATATCTGTCACGTACAAAATGGGAGTTGTTAATATGTGGTAAGAATACTCCAGTTACGAGGCGTGGATTAAGTGAGTGAAAACTGCTTACCTAAAAGGGAAAGTGCTACGGTCACATGACCTTCAGAAATGACAACACCTCACTACCTCTCTCCACAAAATCCCAAGTGTATGTTTACAGAAATAAACATCCATAATCCGCTCACCAACCTCTCCAAAATCCGCGTCTTGTCACAATTGCAACAACTTCAGCTCACCCTTCCACAGAGTGAGTCACCTACCAAAATCAAAGTCTCAGCATTACTCTCCATTACAAGTAAAGTACATCACCAAAAACTCCAAACACAAGGACCACAATTTTGCCCTTGCCCCGAGTTCATAACCACAGGTTATGGACCCAAATTGAGGGTATTCTCAATTCCACTGTTCCACCGAATTCTAAACACAAAAATATACAATATACAACAAAACGGATAGTTTGAAGGTCTAACTTCTTTGGGGGTGCTTGAAAGAAGATGGGCTGGCTGGGTACTAGTATCATGTTGACAGGTTGGTTAGGATCTTAGTTATGAACTGTTATTTTGGAGTGGGTTAAGTGTATTCTTAGTCTGAAAGAAAAGGTTTGGGGTTAAGGTAAGTGTTGTGCTAGAATTGCGCGAACTTGCACTAGGATAGAAGATGTGACCTCATGAAAACTACAGTAGCACCAAATGAGGCACCAAAAAATACGAGTTATCAACCCAAATAAGCAAGAAAATTATTCAGATACTAAAGCGCAAATCTATGGGCCCAGAACACAAATACAAATACAATACCGTAAGTACTGTACATCTATCCTACAGCCGAGAGGAAATCACAGAATCCACGATGAAGAGAGTCTGTTATTTGGGGATCTTGATAAAGAAGACGCTAGCTGGTAATAGAATGAAAAGGGTATATATAAACGCTAAGAACCGAATCTAGCTTCCTGACTCCATTCCACGCTTCTCAGTCCAGAGAAACCGCCCAGGAATGCTAAGTTGGTAGGTATACTGTATCGCTACCTCACTCTATCGCATACCTCCCAACGAATCCCAGAACACCGCCTCATAACCGATAGACCATCCATACCCACACCCCACCAGAACCCCCCTCATTTCAACTTCCTCCCCAAAACCAGCTCCCTTAACCGATTCAACCCCCACGTCCTCCTCATAACCCAATCAAAGATCCACCCTCCAAGCCCCAAATTCCACGCCCACCACACCTCCCCCGCCCGATTCC